ATATATATATATATATATATATATCCTCTAAACCTTTGAACAGTAATGTAAACAGAAATTTATAACTTCAATATACCACATTTATTTTGGATACAAGTAAAGTGAAGTCAGAGCTGACAGCCTCATGGACAGTGCTCCAACATACAACCATATATGGTTGTGCTTTAGGCAACCTGAGTTTGAGTCCCAGCTCGTGGTACCTTCCACTCCCACTTTGCTTCCTGTCTGCTCTCTATGCTGTCATACATAAATAAAAATAAAAATGATAAGTAAAGTGAAGTTGCTCTTAAGGAAATATTCCCTGCTCAGTCTGTAGGGAGCAGTGCAGGATTCATGTGAATCAGAAGAATCAGAAGCTTGTGCTACTGACAAGCTACAAAGACATACATTGTCTAACCTTAAGAATATCAGTGCCATTCTGCTTAAGTCCTCATACAAGAAAAATGTGAATAATTACTCATTCACCACCAAAAGGAGTAGTAATTAAAACAACCATCCATAATCATTATTTTACACCATACCATCATTTCTTTAAGTGCATGCAACACCATTCACACATTAATTTGCTCAAAAATCTACAGCTTTTGCTAAAGTCATACTATTATACTATTAATAAAATTGCACACAGGTTATTTTATGCACACAAATATGACAATAAAAGTTCAGATTTATATTACATTTGCAAAACATTTTACTCCCTTAATGTGACACGTTTCCAAGTGAAACAGGACTTTCAATAAGAAAATATTGTGCGTGGGATTAGACGGTATCCATTGAGAATTAATTGAAGTGTTTGCATTATATACACTAGAAGAGTGGTTATTAACCTATTTGATTTCAACACCCCCATTTGTCCAAGACAATATTCAAAAGCCCTTTCATCTTGTCTGATATGTACCTCTGGTACTTCTGTTGAAATAAAAATAAATAAACTCAAAAATATGATTTTAGTGGTACATATTTATTATAAGTTTATTCAGCATTTTAATTAAGATGATTGTTATAACCAAACGTAAATAATTTTAAGACTTATTGGAGCATCATTGGAAGTTTGCTGAGGCCCCCTGGCTGAGAACCAATAAAACAATGGCAACATATCTCTTCGGTGACTGCTTTACGATAATCAGTTATCCACATGACCTAAGTAACATCAGTGGAAAAGGAAAGCGTGAGTCAAGGTTAAGTAAACAATTGTTTTCTTCAAAATAAAATGCACAGATGAATCATTCCCAATAAGACCAGGTGCAACAATTGATTAAGTCAATAAGTTCATTTTGATTTCATATTGACGTTTACATGGCATCTGTGAACTTGATATATTTTTCCCATAAAATTACAGTCTATCTCCTAATGCCATTAGCTGAAAGCCCATGGTTCTGTGGTTGACATATGTACTGGCTGCAGCTCAACATTGTTTGGCACAAAGTAAGAGAGAAAGCAGGGAGGAGAGAGAGGCCATTCCCCTGTGAGTGAAGGCAAGCAGTCAAGGTCGGAGGAGATCAGGATGGGGTTAATGAAATGATGACAGCAGGGGTGAGGGGGAAAACTCCAGTGGTAATTTACAAGCCTCTCCCCTGTAGGGCTGAAGGTTACACTAGGCCCTGTTGGGGAAAAAGCAGGAGAATGGGACAATGCGATGGATCTACACATACTTCACACCCCACGGGCTGACACACACACACACACACACACACACACACACACACAAACACACACACACACACACAAACACACACACAATGCGGTAGCAGTAAGTGTCATTGTATGGCAATCAAGATATTAGAGTCAGTTAGGTTAACAGATGTGCGCATGTAGGGCAGGAACATAGCAAAAGTCAAACAAAGAGAGAGCATAACTGTGTATATTAGTATATAACATATATGTAAGGATCAAATCATGAGGAATCCATTTTTTTGTGACTTCTGGAGATATATTAACCCTGTAAAGTCTGGCATATGAAATAACAGTCAGACAAATCTATTTTCTTTTTCTTTTCAAATGAAACCATTTACTAAACCTTTAGACAATTGAAAAAATATCAAATATAAAAGTTTGCGTGTATGTGTTCTTTGTTGAGTATCATATCTGATACATCAAGCTTTTATGGCTCATATACTATGACAACATTAAGCTAAAAAAAAAAACACCTCAGCTTTATTCAGATGCCCAAACTGAGCAAAAATATGCAATTTATGCAATTTGTTATTATTTATATGGCCAGAGAGTGATGAAATTCTGTTAGTTTGTATAGCAGATTACTTTGATTACTTTAATTATCAATGGTCACTGTATATCTTCAATAATATTTATCATAAGATTATATTTAAATGGTTAGTTTAATATATCAAAACTCTATAGTTTTAATTGTGGGGGGAATGAAAGAATGTTTGAAAGATGTAATAATAATAATAAAAATAATAATACGTTTACTTTATATAGCGCCTTTCGGCAAAATCAAAGTCGCTTTACAATATTATAACAAATAAACGTACAAATATTACATTAGAACATGATTTTTCAAAACAAAACAAAAATGATATATGGATCATCAAGAAAACCTAAGTAAGTGCTGAAATAATAATAACAATGTAAAATATATTCTTGTGTTTACTTTAGCAAATATTCAGTGAAGATTTCACAGTAAAAAGATACTTGTATCCTGACCAGAAGTGGGATGTTTTTTTAGAATTATACTAAAAGGCATTTTACTTGCTAAAACATATAAACTACCAATCAGACAACAGAAGCCATGTTGAGGATTGAGTACAGCAGGTTTTTCAGATCAATTATCATGTTGATAATTTAGAGGCCTCAGAAATGTGCCTATCAAATATGATAAAGTAGGCTGTATAGGCTAGTACATAAAAAAGCTCTCTCTCTGGAATTCACCAATTTTCTTTAAATTTCACATAAAATGACACCATATTTTGTCTGATTTGAAAAAAGATACGGAAGCTCTCTACCTCATGCTAATTGCATTACATTGCGACACAAGTAAAAGCCTGGATGTAAGTGATTGTTGTAATTAGAGCGCTTTAAATTACAGCCCTAATTCCAGACGATGTCCCCCCACCATTCATATGCTGCTGACCACGCTAGAAATTCCCCCTGATGGGACTCCTGGCTCTGTCATAAAACTATCTGAGGTGTAATCTTCAACTGATTTACCTGCCGTTTTCTCAACATCGCCCAATAAAAAGGGCGAGACCGCCGAGGTTTCATGGGGCTAGTTTGTGATTAGGGATGCATAATCGTATCCTGCTTTGATCGTTTCCATGCCTTATAACTTCTAGCATATATAATGCGAGGGACTCGTGAGACAGACAGAGTGCAGTGTAAGCAGGGAGGATTTGGGAGCAGCACTGGGCTGCAGTCTTAATCTGGTTCTGGAGACAAAGTGTTTATGATGTACATCATTGGCTGAACTGGAGGAAGGACTAATTATAGTCATCCCGCATGACACATCCTGAGGTATTGACCATTTGTTCTTTTTGGTTAGATGGGGTACTAAGCACCCGAAGAGCAGCTCTCAACTGTCCGAGGAAAGCTGATGAGTGTGTTAAAAACAACAAAAACTCTTATGAGAGATGAGGGGGTGAAGTTGCTGACTACAGCAAAGTCCACAAATTAAACCTCAGTTTTTTTCCTCATTTGTTTCCAGGGTAATAGTTTTCAACCTGGCTAGAGCGTGATGTTGTTTTCCGCTCTGCCGTTTGGATCGACAATCGCTACTGTTCTTGTTCATGGAAAGTTCAAGGCATTATTCACGAAGTAAAACTGTGACACTGACATTAAAGTATAAATGAATGTGTACTCTCTTCCACCACTCTCTGAGGTGGAGATAATGAGATGCTATATCACAATGATGGAGGGAGTGGAAATCTGATTAAGATGTGCTTGCATCCAACGTCTCAACTAACTGCGAAACTCATAAAACGCATTTGCTGTCTCCCCCATAACTAATGGCTGGTTTTCACGGCTTTGACAGCGAGCCGTGTGTGTTATTTTGTCCGGGTATTATAATAATAATGAGAGCAAATTAGAACAATCAATTTCCATGGGTGGTTCTTGATTG